AACAAAAAAAAACAAACTGCAGGGCAACGTCCCTCGTAAATACAGACGCAGACTCTGAACAAAACACTAGCCTAGAGAACTGTCCGCACACAGAGAGTTGTGCACCACAACCAGGAACGAGGCTGGTTCGCCATCCCACAGCCGGGTGACGGTCTGCCACGCCACAGGCCCAGCAAGAGTGGTCAGCACCCGCCAACAGTGCAGGGAGGGCTGTTGGTGGTAAGCAGCGTGGACTTGCGTGCTGGGGCTGCAGGCGCGGAGCCGGTGAGGGCCGCCCAGGCCGCGGCAGAGGGAGGGGCAGACCGTGCTCACGGGTCTGTAGGTTCAGCAGGGTTCCTACCGGAAAGCCCAGCGAGGGTTTCGGTAGACATGGACAAGCTCGTGGTAACGTTTATTTGGGAAGCGAGAGCACCTCAAGTGGCTGAAGCATTTCTAATGGAACAGGATTGTGGGAGTCGCCCGCCCCCACCCCTGGCTTTGGGCTTAGGCTGTAGGTGCTGAAACCAGCACCACCTGGTGTCGGGAGTCGAGCAGAACAGGCACCCACGAGTGGGCCCACACGCGCCAGCGGGCTTGTGATGGAGGTGCAAACCCACCACGATGGCACTGGAGTGACGGGCAGCACAGGCGGAAAAGTGACCGCAGCCTAAAGCTCGGCCTCACACACCGGGCGGCTCAGCATCAGCTCCAGATTGAGGTGTAAACATGAGACATGTCACTTGGGGGAGGAGAGCGTGGAGGAGAAGGTCTCTGGAGCCCAGGGCGTGGTTTGTGTGTCACACGAACCACAACGGAGAAAATGATGCACGTCGTCATCACGGTTTGCTTCGCTAAAGACTGAAGGGTGGGAAGACAAGCTGTGGATGCAGAGAACATGTTTTTGAGCCCCGCGTTTGCCCTGGAACTGACGCCTGGGATACATGAGCACGGCAGTGAGCAAAAAGCCATCCACTCAGAGCACGGGAGGCGAGTGCCTGTGCCCAGCGCGGGGGCCACCTGGCTGGGGGCCACCCCAGGGCGTGGCGTGGCCACAGTGGAAGGAGTGTGGCCCTAGGTGCCGGTGGGGGTGCGAGACGGCTCGGCCGCTCCACCACAGAGCTGGGCGGTTTCCAGCAAAACGAAGTGCAGCAACCATTTACCCCAGACTCACAGCAAAACCTCCGACGCGGTGTTCATAGCGGCTTTGTCTGTAACTGCCCAAAACTGGAGCCAGCCCTGAGGTCCTCCCAGGGGTCAGGGATTGAACAAACCGCGTTGTCTTTACCACAAAATGCTGCTCAGCAATAAAAAGGAGCAGGTCCTGCGTGAGAAGCACCAACCGCAAAGCTTACTCTCTGATTCCGTCTCTAGAACATTCTTCCCCTAGGATGGGGAACGTGAATGTCGTGATCTGGTGCTTACACGCGCGTGTGTGTGGTCGCCGTGCACACACACGCGTGCGCGCACGCAGCAGCTGGTGCAGCCGGGACCTGGGGGCCCGGAGCTGGTGGTTTGGCTTGCTGTGCGTCTGTTTCAAAATCAGCAGTTAAAGCAGCAGCCGTGCATTCTGAGGGTGAGTGGGGAGGCGGTGCCCGCGCTTGTCCCCGCGCGTACCCGCTGTCCCCCAGCCCCTGTGGACGTGAAGTCCTGGAGACAGCAGTGGCCCCGTCCATAGTGGCTTCACAGGGCGCGGCAGCCATCACGCGTTCGGACACTCAACCCCTGTGAACTGTCTCCCCAGGCTCACCTGCTGGATTTGCTCCTGGGGGTTTCGGCCCCAAAACAGCCCCTCCTCCCACGGGTGGCAGCTCCTGGCAGCAGACAAATCGGCCCCCGGCCCAGGGCACCCCGCGGCCCCCCCAGTCCAAGCCACCCCCCAAAGCCTGTGCACAGCCAAGGCCTAACTATGCCGCCAACCTGAGTGTGATCGGCAGCCGAGAGGAGAGGGGGGTCCGCGCCCCCAGCTTCGGTAAGTCCTGCCTTGGTCTCCGGTGTGTGGCTTTTTCAAGTTTCCTGTGAAGCGGTTCGTAAAGCGGCATCCTGCTGTTGCTCCCACTCCTGGCCTGACCTGGGAAGGAGTGCTCAGCGAGGCCCATGTCTGTTCGCTCGGCGGGGGCTCCCGCGGGGTGGCAGGGAATGCTGCGGCCAGGCCCACGCTGTCCGGGAGCCCACAGCCGTGTCTGTCACGGGGACGGCACATCCGCGTTGACCCCAGGAGGTGACGGACGAGGCTGTCCTTGGATCCCGAAGGGTTGTTGAGCTAGACACTGTTCTGCAGGCTGCAGGCTGGGATGTACGCCGATTGGCAGGCCGCCCGTTTCTGACGAACTTTTCTTCCGAAGCGTTGGGGCAGCGGTGGGTCTCGCCCAGTGTGCACCCATGGGCAGAGCCCCCAGCGCATTGTCTGTCGGCCAAGCCTCCGTTCGCTCATAGGTCAGAAGCCGAGAGTGTCGGAGAGTGACTTTGAGGACCTGCTGTCCGACCAGGGCTTCTCCTCCAAGGCCGACAGGAAGGGGCCGAGGACCATGGCCGAGATGCGGAGGCAGGAGCAGGCGAGGGATGCGGACCCCCTCAAGCTGAAGGTGAGGGGGGCTGGGCGCCCCGAGTCTGCGGGGGGGGGGGGCTCCTGCGGACGTGATTGGCCTTCACCCTGAGCCAGCCAGCAGCTGCCTCGTGAGGCTCCCGACTCCCGGACACGAAAGGGTCTCGGCCCAACGTGTTTGCAGAGACAGTGCTTGTGTTCACACTTAGGTGTGTTTTTGGACATGTTTTGGGGTGATTAAGTCCCGCTGCTCTGGACACGGCTTCGCGATGCAGCTCTGCGGGGCCGTCCTGTCCTGTGCGGCGTGTGGCTAGGCCCAGGGAGCGGTGTCGACCATGCCTGGGTGGGGTCAGCACAGAACCCGGGGCATCGGGTCTGGGTCTCAGCCGAGCGTCTCACGGTCAGAGCCTTGCTCCGTGTGGTGGTGGGTGGTTTGTGGAGCCATCGGAGGGATGGCCAGCGGCTTGGCGGGCAGAGGGGGCAGAGGCCCCGATCTCTCCGCAGCACCTGTGTGTCCCACAGCTCCTGGAGTGGACCGAGGGCAAGGAGAGGAACATCCGTGCCCTGCTGTCCACCCTGCACACCGTGCTGTGGGATGGCGAGAGCCGCTGGACACCCGTGGGCATGGCCGACCTGGTGACCGCTGGGCAGGTGAAGAAACATTACCGCCGCGCGGTGCTGGTGGTGCATCCGGACAAGGTGAGTGCTGGGCGGGGGCGGGGCAGGACGGGGCGGGGCAGGTGCCGGAGCGGGACTAAGGGCTCCTCCCCCTGGTCCGGCCTGGGGGCGGGGGCGGAGCGGGACTAAGGTCTCCTCCCCCTGGTCCGGCCTGGGGGTGGGGGCAGGGCAGGATGGGGCGGGGGCGGGGCGGGACTAAGGGCTCCTCCCCCTGGTCCGGCCTGGGGGCGGGGCAGGACGGGGCGGGGCGGGTGCTGGAGCGGGACTAAGGGCTCCTCCCCCTGGTCCGGTCTGGGGGCAGGGGCGGGGCAGGACGGGGCGGGGCGGGTGCCGGAGCGGGACTAAGGGCTCCTCCCCCTGGTCCGGCCTGGGGGTGGGGGTGGTGCGGGGGCGGAGCGGGACTAAGGGCTCCTCCCCCTGGTCCGGCCTGGGGGCGGGGGCGGGGGCGGGGCGGGACTAAGGGCTCCTCCCCCTGGTCCAGCTTGGGGGCGGGGGCGGGGCAGGACGGGGTGAGGCGGGGGCGGAGCGGGACTAAGGGCTCCTCCCCCTGGTCCGGCCTGGGGGCGGGGGCGGAGCGGGACTAAGGGCTCCTCCCCCTGGTCCGGCCTGGGGGCGGGGGCGGGGCGGGACTAAGGGCTCCTCCCCCTGGTCCGGCCTGGGGGCGGGGGCGGAGCGGGACTAAGGGCTCCTCCCCCTGGTCCGGCCTGGGGGCGGGGGCGGGGCGGGACTAAGGGCTCCTCCCCCTGGTCCGGCCTGGGGGCGGGGGCGGGGCGGGACTAAGGGCTCCTCCCCCTGGTCCGGCCTGGGGGCGGGGGCGGGGCGGGACTAAGGGCTCCTCCCCCTGGTCCGGCCTGGGGGCGGGGGGCGGGGCGGGACTAAGGGCTCCTCCCCCTGGTCCGGCCTGGGGGCGGGGGCGGGGCGGGACTAAGGGCTCCTCCCCCTGGTCCGGCCTGGGGGCGGGGGTGGGGCGGGACTAAGGGCTCCTCCCCCTGGTCCGGCCTGGGGGCGGGGGCGGGGCAGGACTAAGGGCTCCTCCCCTGGTCCGGCCCCAGGCCGCAGGGCAGCCCTACGAGCAGTACGCCAAGATGATCTTCATGGAGCTGAACGACGCGTGGGCCGAGTTCGAGAGCCAGGGCTCCCGGCCCCTCTTCTAAGCCTGTCGTGGTCGAGGCCGTGTGTGTGGCTCACGGAGCCTGAAGCTGCTGAGCTCAACCCCCGGGGGTCCGTCCGTGGCCGTCACGGCGTGGGCTAGTGTGGCCACCCCGGATCGCCGTGCCCACTGTCCTCGGTGGACTCGACAGACGCCGCTCCCCGGCATGAGAAGAAAGAGCGTTCCAAAGCCTCTGGTTTTCCTTTTCTTTTTCTGGTCCCAAAGGAAATGTTGATTACGCGCCCCCCGTAACTGTCACGGTTTGTGATTCCTTTCATTTTGTCCAGTGGCCAAGGCCTCTGCCCGCGGTAGAGTGCGCTGCTCAGCTGTCCTGCCCTGAACCCCGTGCGCGAACACTCCTTCTGTGTGTGATCAGCCTGGCGGCCGCCTGTACATAATTAAACTATTTTCCGATGACGCTTGTCTTGGCGCCGTGTGACCTTCTCTGGGCAGTGGTGCCGTCATCAGGCTGGTCTCGGCCCTGACCACGGAGCTGAGCACAGGAACCCGCCGGCAAGCAGCGGACTCGGGCCTCTGTGGGCCTCCGGGCAGCGTGGCTCTGGGTCTAGGGGTCGGCCCTCACCGTGAGCACTGGACAGGCCCCACGGTCACTGCGCATGGCCAGAACAGAACAATGCTGGCCCAAGTCCACGTCCCACCAGGTCCCTCCTCCGCAGAGGGGGGCGGGCATGGGCTCTTCGGATGCTGCTGTTGAGGAAATTCAAAGCAAGAGCTCTCTTTGATGAGAAGCCTGTTGAGGAGGTGCCGGCTGTCCAGTCCTGCATGGTCACTCTGTATGCGGGCTTGGGGGGGGCCCCTGTCAGTACGAAGCTTTGGTCAGAAGTGATGTTACAAGCTCCCAGGGTCATCCTGCTCCTGTCCTGGGCTGGCCTGGGCCGAAGCTGCCACGCAGTCTGGTCAGTGCTGCAGGCCTCGGGGAGCTCGTGTGTGGTCCCTTTTGGCGGAGTCCAGTGTGATACTGGAGAGAAGGAGGATTCCGTGGACTGGAGAGGGGCAGCCTTTGCCCTGCGTCCCGTCGCATGGGTGGGATGTAGGAGTTGGTGTGGACTTGAACCATCGGTCAGTAAGGCCTGGGTGTCAGCCCGTAAACACCAAGTGGACAGCTCGCGTCCGGGCCGCCGCGAGCCCAGCACCAATGTCCCCAGGTAGAGGCCTCACCTATATTGGACACCAGAAGCTCAGACCCCACCTTCCCCTGCCAGTGACCACATTGGCCCAAGACTCGCCAGCCCTGTGGGTGTGCAGCGCACGAGACCCGGGGCTCGGAGGAAGGAGAGGCTCTGGCCTTTTGCCCTGGGGTCCCGTGGCCGCAGGACCAAACCAGAGGCTGGGACCCCGCCTGCCCTCTGGCCCTTGGGCTTGGTCCCCTCCGCTCCCCTCCCAGCACCCCTGCAGCTCTGAGTCTGGATGGAGGGCGGGGCGGGGGGGGGGGGGGAGAGAAGGTGGGTCTGGGCCTCGGCACCATCCCTTTGCAGAGGTGACGGGTTCCCACAGTGGTCTGGGGCCCCACACTGGTGCGGGCGGGCTCACTGTGTTTGTTATGCGTTCGCTGCTATTTTTAGTCTCCAGCTCTTTTAACAGATAATGAGCGGCCTAAATAGCTTCAGAGATTTCACATCAAAGCTGCTCTGGATCCGGCACCAGGGCCAGACCCTCCAGGAGCCCCTCCCCAGCCCGTGCTGCCCTGGGAGAGGGGAGCTGCGCAGCCCACCCGCCCCCTTAGTTTCTGCTTTTGGCACCAGCCCTAATTTACTTAGAGTGACATTCCAGAGGTTTCCACCTGCCCGGCCCACAGAGCTCTTAGCCTCCAGGCCACGGACCCAGTGTGGGGGCTGTTCCAGTGCCCTGGCCTGTCCCCTGACTGGGGGGCTGCAGTGATGAGTACAGCCAGCCCGTCATGGGTCCTGGGGGCGGGGGGCGACGGACTCAGATAAGGGACCCAGCAGAGGAGCTGCCTCCCCAGGCTGCCCCCTTCTATAAACCCAGGACCCCGTGTCCACCCCGGGTCTGCAGAGGATGCTCCACCCCCGGTGACTGGCGTCCTCGGCCACGGAGGGACACCGCTCTGCTGGGTGTGTGGCCCATGCCCCCCTCCCTGCCTGCTCCCAGACTGTGGGCGTTGCCTGCTCCCCGAGCCTGGGGTCCTGGCCGCGGTGTTCATGGATTTGTTTTTGTGCCCTAGTGACTCGTCCCCGTTCCTTCCAGCAACTGCTGTGTGTTTCTTGCGGCAACTTGGGGGTGGTTTCTGTGGTTCCCATGTAGGATGGTCTGAGAAGTCTTCCGTGTCTCCCTGACAAGGGGGCCCCTTCCAAGGCTGGCCACACCCTCAGGCAGCGTGGCCTCGGGCAGCGAGGCCTGTGTTCTCGGCTCCAGCGCAGAAAACGGCCTGGCCGGTAGAGCACACGACTCTTGATCTCAGGGTTGCGAGTTCGAGCCCCACGTTGGGTGTAGAGATTACTTTGAAAAAATAAAATCTTTAAAAAGAAAAAAAAGGAAAAGAAAACAGGCTTGAATTCTGTTTCCGCCTCATTTCTGGCAGATGCCCATTTGTGGGAAATAAATACTCGCTCATCCCACCCCTCCAGTGCCTGTGGCCGAGTCTGGGGGCCTTTCTGAGGGGTGGGGTCCAGCTCAGCTGCCCTGGTCACCTGCCTGGGGCCCCTGAAACAAAGGCCCTAGTCCGGGTCCCCCCAGGGTAGATCCATCAGGCCGTACAGGGCGCTAGAGTGGCGGGGGGTCCCTGCTCAGCCTGCCCTTCCTGGCCCAGCTGCCATGGGGCCAAGTCCACTCACTCTGGGGTCTCCCTCAGAGACCTTCTGGGACCCCACCCCATTCCCTGCAGCCTGTAGGGTGACCACTGGGGCCTCAGGCCTATGTCCCCGGATCTGCAGAGGGTCCTGGGAGATGCACCCCACCCAGGACTGTGGGGCTGAGAACTCTGGGCCAGGAGGGACCCTCTGTCCCATCACTAAAGCTAGCTTGGACCCCCAGCAGATGTGGGCAGACCCCAGAGGTTGCCGTGGGTACTGCCAGGAGCAGCCTGGGCTGGGCCTCCCGGTCTTGGTGACAAGCTGCTGGGACAGGCAGGCCGGAAGGAGAGTGTCTCGGCCACCAGGAGGGCAGAGCAAAGACGCACACACACGGTCTGGTGTTGGTGTCCAGCCGAGCCCTGTGGCCCATGCACTCAGGCTGGGAGCGTCTCCTGGGCAGTGAGGAAGGCCCGGACAGGGTCTCCTCCCAAACAAATCCTGCTGGGTGGGGCCCCTTGGGGAGGAAGACCCCCTCCCCCCACCTGGAGCATCGGGAGGCTTGATTCTGCCTGGCTGCGGGGGAGGGGGGCGCCACGGGGACCCCCAGAGGTGGCCAGAGGTGTGGCCACGGCCCAGCTCAACCCAGCCGCGCAGAAGCGCTGAGAGCGTCCGCGGGCTCGTAGCTGGCTCAGCCAGGGTTGTTGATTGCACTGGTCAGGGTGGGACAAGGGTGTCCCCAGGTCAGTTTGCTCGGAGGTGGAGAGGCAGGGCTGTCTCTGGGAGGAACACTTGTCCAGACCCAGCTCACTGGTGGCCCTCTGGGTAGGCACCTCAGTGCGGGGGGTGGGGGGGTGCGTCTTGGAGGCTGGTCCACGTTGTACACGTGTTATTAGGGCGGACAATGCCCACAGTGCGGACAAACACCTTTTTCTCTTCCGTCGGTGGGGGAGTCGGGCTGTTTGGCTCTGTGTCCCCCACTGAGGAGCCATCAGCCTCTCCACGGCCCCTGTGCCCTTTGGTCTGGACACGGGCTTCTTGCCAGGGCACAGTGCGCTCATGTGCCATCCGCTAGTTGGGCGCACACCTTGCTGACCACCAATGTGAGGGCAGGACAGAGGCCCTTCTTGGGGCTCGGGGGGCCTCTGGGTCATGTCCTGCAGGGATGGAGTTGACCTGGGTGGTGTGAGCCCTTCCAGAGAGGCAGCGCCCCTGGCAGAGCCTGGCTGGTGAGCATTCCCTGTCGGAAAAGGCCTGGGAAGGAAGGACAGGAAGGTCCTGCGTCACCTTGGACGTCCTGCGGTGACCCTTGGACAGCAGGAGGGCTCCGGTGCTGAGCCCCCAGGCTCTGCTGCACCCTTCATACACGCAGGCCTTCGGGGCACCGTCAGAGCAGAGCGTGGGCGACGCCCCGGCTCTTTTCCAGCTCAGGTGCAGCCCAGACACCGGTCTCAGAAACAGAGGGACTGTCGTCCACCCCTGCTGCCGTGGTCCCAAGGACTTCTACCAGGAAGGCCCCCCCAGCTCAGCTCTCAGCAAGCTGTGCCCTGGAGCTGGGGGGGCTGTCCTGGGCCCCAGTCTGGTGGGGAGAGAGATGTTGGGGGGGCATCCAACTGTGGCCAGCCCAGCCCCCCCTGCTGTTCGGACAGCCCCACCACCCACTCTTGGTCTCTTTCCCCTAGGGTGGCCTCTCCACACCTTCAGCCTCAGCTGGACTGCCTACCTGGGGCACCTGTCTCCTTGCTCATAGGGGGCTCTGCAAGCAGGGTCCCTTGGCTCCATTGTCGCCCAACCCCGAGCTGCACCCTCAACCCTGGTTCTGCCTGACCCCACAGCCGGCATTCACACCCATGTCCAGGTGGGTCTGACCCTAGTGGACACTCCTCCAGCCACAGCCCCTGGGGAATCAGTGTGGGCTGCCCTCTGAGATGTTGAGGGCACAGGGTCGGGGTGGGGGCCTGGCCAAGTGGATGACCGCCCATCAGCTGCCCACAGGGGCTGAGGTCAGTGTCAGAGTCTGGCCCTCCATTCAGCCCTCGTCCCCCACTTTGCACCCCTTGCGAGCCGCACATCCCAGCTCCAGGCTCACCTGCCAAGAGCCAAAGCTGCAGGGGGGAGTGAGGCGGTGCTGACCGGGGGCTGATGGGTCAGTGCAAAGGGGACACCTGTCCTCAAGGACAGGGGCTCTGCTGCGAGTTGTCCCGACTAGAGGCTGAGCCAGGGGGTGCAGCCCAGCGCCCTGCTGCAGCTCACGTGTTCAGCCACCTCAGCGTTAGGCAGGAGATCAAGCCGTTGTCTGTGTGAGGTCTTTGCCCGCCGCCCTTCGAAGCAGCAAAATCGGCCTGAGAGATGGTCCCCAGACCAGCAGCCACATGGCTGCCCCAGGGGAACGGGGTGGGGGTGAGCCCCCATCACACAAGCTGAGGACACACTCGTCCCCAGAGGTCACAGGAGGCGCCACGGGCTTGGCACCTGCGTCTCCACCACACCCGCTCCTGGCCGGCTCTGCCCAGGCCTCTGTCAGAACAGGCGGATGGCATGGCCTCCGCCCTTTCAGGCACCGCTCGCCCCTTCCCAGGAGCTGGAGAGAAGGGGGCAGAGATGTATGGAAGGAGCTGTCTGGGGAGACTCTGGCTCGAGGGGGAGGACACAGGTGTGTCCACTGGTTCCCGCTGACGGAGCACAATGCAGCCGTGGTGTGTCGCGAGTGGGTGAGGGTGGGGTGGGCCGGGGGTGGTGCAGAGCTTGGACAGGACGGGGCACTCCCAGGGCAGCTAAGGGGCCACTGGAGGACAGTCCTGCTTGTGGAGCTCACCTGCCCCAGCCCAGGCCCTGACCTAGGATCGCCTCCACTGGCCACCTGGGGCAGAGCCCGGATGGGATCATCTTCCTGGACACAGGCCCCCAGGACAGGTAGGGGGGGTGGGAGGTGGTTCCGGACGCTCGGCCAGGCCCTGGGCAGGCTGCAGGCCAGGCCACCAGGTCCCGGGCGGCGGGTCTGGGTGGCCCCCTGCCAGGGCCGGGGCCGCCCCCAAGGCTTCCCGGCGTCCCGCTGGCCAGGACAAGGCACCGTCCAAGTGTGGCCTGGTTGCCTCTTCCACGGGGTCCCAGCGGTCCACCCCGTGCCCCTGCCCTGCTGGCCTGGAGCGCCGCCCCTGGGCGGCCAAGGGGGCTGGTTGGTCCTGTGGTGTGGGATGCCTTCCGTGTTTATTGTCCTGTCTCCTGCACGCAGTCCTGGGAGTGCCTCCCTCCCCAGGTCTGAAGTCCTCCTCCTGAGGAAGGGACACCGGGTCCTCTCGGGTTCCCACAGAAGCCCTTGTTTCATGGCCAGCATGGTGAGGTTGGGTGGGCAGTCTCCTTCTCTGGACCACAGGATGGGGTCGCACCTTCCAGATGCGCCCCTGGCCCTGGACAGGCGGTGTGCACCGCCCCCCCCCCCCACCGCGGGCACAACGCAGACCCTCCCCCACCCTGGATGGGGACTTATTTCCATTCTGCTTGGAATGCGGCCCCGCCCCGCCAGGTCTGGGTGACACTGGGTCATTCAGCCTGAAGCCCAAATGTCTGCTGAGGCCTGGCTTAGACATCAGCTAATGAAGCTCCCAGGTCTCCGTCCCCCCCAGAGTCTCTGTTTCCCCCCCAACCAGTTCCCATCTCCCCTGGTCTCCATCCCCCCGCCCCGGTCTCCGGTCTCCGGTCCCGTCCCCCCAGGTCTCCATCCCCCCAAGTCTCCATCCCTCCCTCCCCTCCCGCCCCCCCCCCCCCCCGTCTCCATCCCTCCAGTCTTTGGTCTCGGTCTCTCTGGACTCTGTCCCCCCCCAGTCTCTGTCCCCCCTCCACCCCCCCCCCGTCTCCATCCCTGCAGTCTCTGGTCCCGGTCCCCCCCAGACTCTGTCCCCTCCCCCATCTCTGGTCCCCATCCCCCTCCCCCCTCCCCCTCTCCCCCCCCCCCCCCCCCCGCTCCATCCCCGCAGTCTCTGGTCTCTGTACTCCTCAGGCTCCATCCCCCAGTCTCTGGTCCCCGTCCCCCCACCCCCCCCGGGCTCCGTCCCCCCCCCCCCCCCCCGCAGGCTCCATATCCTGGTCTCTGGTCTCTGTCCCCCCATCCCCCCACCAGGCTCCATCCCCCCCGGTCTCTGGTCCTCGTCGCCCCCGGGCTCCGTCCCCCCCAGGTTCCGTCCCCCAGGTCTCTGGTCCTCGTCCCCCTGGTCTCTGGTCCCCGTCCCCCCCCGGGCTCTGTCCCCCCCCCCCCGGCTCACCCCTGGCCTCTGGTCCCCATCCCCCCTGGGCTCCGTCCCCCTTCCGGGCTCCGTCCCCCCAGTCTCTGGTCCCCGCCCCCCTCCCCCGGTGTCCATCCCTTGGCCGTGTGGTGAACCTTCTGCCGTGTCTTGGCCATCGGCTCCTGGAGAAGCTGGACCAGCAGCGGCCTTTGCCTTCCTCACAGCAACCACCCCAGAGCAGCACCTGGGAAGGACAGCAGTTAGCACATGGGGGTGGGGGTGGGCAGAGCGGGAGGTCCCCTGTCTCAGGCTGGCCCCAGGGGTGATGGAGGAACAGATGGTGGCTTGGACTCTGCCACTGGGGCGGCGGTCCTGGTCCTTCGTCCCCTCGGGGGTGCGTCCAAGGGTCCTTCAGGCCTGGGACCCCAGAGGGCTCCACTTTCCTGAGTGGGTGCAGGCCCAGGCTGTCCACTGCAAGGGGCTCCCCGTCCACCCCCAGACCACACAGGAGCCCTTGAAGCAGTGGGGTGCAGACAGGGTAGAGGGACAAAGGGAAGAAAGCCTGGTTGTGGGGCTTTCGGTGGTGTGAGTGTTCCCACGGAGGCTGATTGCAAGCCACCGAGGGAAGTCACCGAACCTGACCCCTCTCTCCAGCTCGGCGCCCGCGCTGGGCGCATGCCAGACTGCAGGGACCTCAAGCTCCCGCTGAGAAGGAACTGCCCCACAGCGAGGCCTACACCAGCAGTCCTGCAGGCACTGAGTTAGCCACCTGACCTTCCCAGCCCCAGGACCCAAGCACAGCCAGAAGGTCAAGACCCAGGAGGCAGGAGGATCCAGCCAAGCCCTGCACCTCCTTCCCAGGTGAGCCAGTGGGCATCCCAGCAGGACCCAGGGGGGCCTCCCTGTGCTCTGGGCGTCGCTGGACAGGGGACCTGGGTCTGGCAGCCACCAGGCAGCCTCAGCCAGCAGGGCCGTGCTTCTGTCTGGCGCTTGCGTTCCTAAGAGGGGTTTCTCTAGCCTGGAGCGCCCCTGCAAGGGCCAGTTCTGTTGTTGGCTGGCCGAGTCCAGGCTGGATCAGGGTCACTGGCTGACTCCGCCCCGCCAAGCCTCCAGGGGACCCTGTGCAAACCCCCCCCCCCCCGCCCCTGAGGACGCCAGAGGCCCTCTCAGCACCCCTGCCAGCCCACATTTGTGGCTCATGCCTGTGCTTGCGCAGGCAGGCATCCCCTGTCTGGGGGCTGAGCCTGGCTCAGGTCAGGGCTGGGAAGTACAGTGCAGAAGAAGGTTCTGTTACAGGGACCCACTGGGCTTGGTCCTCGGGGCAGGTCCGGTGGCTCCTTCGAGGGTGGAGGAGGCCTCTGGGGTGGTGCAGAGTGAACTTGGGGGGTGGGCAGGAGAACTTGGGGGGCCATTTGCGGAGCAAGAACATCTGGTCTGCAGCTCAGGGAGGTCCTCCGGTGGGGGTCGTATGACAGGTTCCAGGGAGGGACCATTGGTCAGAGAGTCAGGGGCCCAGAGCCCCCGGCTTGATGTCACCACCAAACCAGTGGACGTGACCAGATGTCCCTCAAGGCTTAGAGATGCCCCAGGGCATTCACCCAGCCTGGACATTTGTTTCGGGGCCCGCTGTCCTGGTGACTGCAGAGGAGACCCTGGTGGGACAGGCACAGGCATGCCCAGGCCCAGCCCCCTAGGCTCTGGAGCTGCAGTGAGGGGCACGAGGACCCCTCTGGAGGCCTGGGCTCCCAGAGGGTAGAGGCCTTCAGCTCCAGGAGCAAACTCATCCCTGCCCCAGCATCCTCCATGCCTCCCGTCCCTCACCCAGGCTGCCAATGTCCACTCAGGGTCGTCCTGGAGCCTCTGTGCAGCCCCTGCCCCACGGTGGCCAGAGAGAGGCTGAATTCTACGTCCAAGCCCATGCAGGGTATTTCTATGTTGGAGCACAGAGGGGCTGCTCTAGGGAAGCTGCCCGTGGTGGGATGCGGGGGGCGCCTCACAGCCCCTGCTGACCCCTCTGTGCCTTCCCTTGGCCCCTGCACTGTCCCCTTCCCTGAGCATCTCTGAAACGCATGCCTCCCTGTTCTGATACCCTGCAGGTGACTCAGAGACCCCACCAGCTCTGCCCACGCCCCCCCGCCCCCGCCACCCCAGGGCTGTGTTGGCAGTGACCGGAGCCTGTGAAGAGGAAGGCGCTGGTCAACGGCGAGATTAGCATGGAGCCGGGGAGTGAGGTGACCTTGGGCTGAGGGAGAGGCCCTGCGAAGGAAGGTGGACAGCGCCCGGGGTCTGGGGTCTGGGGTCTGAGGCCAATAGGGCAGGATCCATCACTGTGCTCTGAGCCCAGCTCCTCGGCCAGCTCCTCAGGAAAGTGGGTCCATGGGGTTCCTGGTGGGGACCCAGGGGACCCCTTGTCTGCTGGGGATGGGGGCAGGGCCTCTGTGGAACCAGACGGTTGGGAAGAAAGTGCATTTCGTCACAAGACCCTGACCAGGCCTAGTGTGTCCCAGCACCCAGGATGGGACCCTGGGCTGGGTGGCACCTCCAGCTTCACTCCCAGATGCTGACCCCGTGGCCAACTGGGCCCCAGAGGCGTTTCTTGCCCACAGTGGCGGGCGAAGGGGTCACGGCATCAGGCAGGCACATAAGGCCCCTGCACTCAGAGCCACGGTTCTAGCCCCCGCTCTGATGAAAGACAACCCTGGTCTCACTTTGCTTCTGCGTTTCCCATGTTATACCTTCCAGGCGGCAATGAAATCCAGCGGGAAACCAGCAGCGCGCACGGCGCCAGCGTTGGGGACTGAATCATTCAGCGTTAAATTATTAAGTTTGCGTTTGAAGTTTCTGGGCAAGCCCATGTGTGCCAAAAGTCCCTCCCAGCCCCTCCTGAGGGGCCTGCAGCCCCCTATAAGACCCCACCCCAAAACTGAAGAGCAGCACCAACAACCCCTGAAGGTGCTTCCAGGGCCCGCTCCGGGCTGGAGCAGGATGGTGCCCTGGGGTGCGGGAGCCACGGCTGGCCCTCCATGGGACAGATGGGACTGGCAGGTGCCAGGCCTCCCTGGAGGGAGCAAAGGGGTCCCTGGGAGGGGCTCCCAGGGAGGGCTGGGGCAGGGTGGCTGGCTCCTCTCTTTTGCCATCTGGAGTGACTCGTGGAGGCTACAAAGGGGACTCTGGATGGCAGGGGGTCCAAACCCAGCATCCTATGGTCTTTGGCAAACCTTGCTTTGGATCAGGGGTTCTGGCTTTGAGGGGCCAGTCTGGAGGGTCATGCATTTCAAGAGCATGCAGAGGGCTGGGCTGGGAGCTGTATACCCGTGCTGCCGGCTGGCCAGGGTCCCACCGCCAGGCCTTGGCTGTGTCCAAACATGCATGTCCCAAATGCTAACCTCTTGGTGGGATACCCTTCCCATCATGCTGGCTCCCTGGAATCCACCCCCCGCCCAGGACCACCGCCTCTGTGCCCTGACACCACCCTGGACTGCGCCCACATCCAGGGGCCTTCTGGACTCACTCCTCGATCTTCCTCAGCTATTTGTAAGTTTCCTGCTAAGCTCCCGCCTCTCTGGCTGGCTGCAGGTCTGGGGACGGTTCACCAGCACCCAGGTCCTCTGCTGGGCACCCACGGGGCCACCAAGACTACCACGGGAACAGACCAGGCAGGGGGGCAGTTCGCAGCCGCTTCACCTCACGTCCTCACCACTTGCCCAGAGTTGGCCCTTCTCGGGCTCCACAGCTGCCCAGCCTCCCTCTCCCGGAGCGGGCACCAGTCACTCTGACCCGGACTGTCTCTTTCCCCTGGGAGAGCCTGAGTCCTGGTTGGGCCACACACCCCCAGCTCAGGGCCTGGGCACCTGTGAGAACGGGGGAGGGTCACCGTGTGGGTGTGGTGAGTGTAGGAGGGGAATGACAGAGTGAGGGACAGGGAGGCACTGGGAGGGCCAGACAGCATCTGTGGTCTGACGTGAGGACCTCTGTACTCCTCTGTTCCATGAGCCTGCACTGCCCTGACACGACATGGCAGGACCCTGCCCAGCCTGGCTGCCCTAAGGTCAACGGGGTGTCTCCCTCAGGTGGCTCATGAGGGTACCTGGGGTCATTAGTTGTAGGGCCTGCTGTGGACTCTGCTGAGGTCACCTCTGGGGTCCTCCGTGGGTTGACACAGGAGATCAGCTGTGGCTCATCCTCCAGGTCCATCTGGTGGCAGGGCTGGAGGGAAGAGGTCCAGTGGGAAGTGACTTCTCTCTTTCCTGGACCAGACCTCTCCCTGCAGCATCCACACTCAGGTTCTGAGGACACTGGAAAGGCCCAGCCTGGGCAGATCCTGAGCTGGGGCTCAAGGCAGACCCTCAAGACCCTCACACCTGGGAACAGCTGACCACAGAATGCCCGTCTCCAGACCTGCTTAAGGCCCAGAGCTATAAGCCACCTCTAGAGAAGGGTTGGGGGAGAGATGAGATGTGTGCTCCTCATATTCCTGGGGGGGCAGTCTGGGCAGGCCAGCTCCAGGGGCTCCCTGCAGCCCTGGCTTGAGTCTTATGTCCTGTCCCCAGGCTCCCCTTTGGGCAGCACCCCCTCCCCTTTCACCTTCTGGCCCAGATCTGAGTGACAGGACCTGTCAGCAGGACAAAGTGAGAATGTTGAGGCCAGATTCCGGGGCCCTGGGATCCGGAGAGGCTGCATCATTGCGTGTCCTGAGCTGTAGGTCTTGGGACGCGGGCCTCCTCCAGGGTCCCTAGGAACCTCGCTAACCAGAGCGGCCGCTGAGTGGACTGATCCGCACGCCCAGGGAGCAGGGCTGGCTTCCTCCGTACCCTCCCCTTGGGCCCCTACCAGGCCACTGCCAGGCACAGTAGGGCCTGGAGATGGTCAGCGAGGGGTAGGAGCTGGGAGCCGAAGCGCCCAACAGGCTGGGCCTGCAAGTCTTCCAGAGCGGAGTCTGAGCCTCTGGGGGCAGCTGAGGGGAGGGGCGGAGAGGAGTCGGGGGCGTGGTCTCCCCAGGGTGGGGTGAGGGGCAGAAGCAGCTCCGGGGTCGCCTCTTCCACCCCAGGTCCTGCAAGTCCTGACTCAGTCGGGAGGGGTCGGTGACAAGTTAATGCGGTGGCCACCAGGGTTGTCTGCCCACCAACCAGGAGGTCAGCCCTGGGCCAGAAGCCCGAGCAACATTTCAGCCCCGCTGCTCTTTGAGACCCGGACTGCGGCCGAGCCGCAGCCCCTCCCCATAGTACCAAGCACAATACTCGCGTGCCCCGGCTGCAGGGTGGGGTCTCCCGACCCCCGGGAGGGGCGGCGGGACTGGAGGCTCAGCCTCCGACCTTGCGGCGACCCGGCTCTCCCCGCAGTGCGGCTTCTGCCGCCGGGGAAATCCTGGAGGCCCGGGGGAGGGGGCGGCCGCGGCGGAGGGCGGGGCTGCGGGGCCAGTCGGGGCGGAGCGGTCCTTGTCTGCAGTGACCTTCACGCGTCCCTGCCCCGCGAGGGGCCGCCCGCCCTGAGCCGCCGGCGCCAGCCGCACTCGGCGCGCGTCTCCTCCCCCGCGGCAGCCGCGCTGGCCGTCCGAGGGGGCGGGGGTCTCCCGCCTCCGTCCCACTGAAATGAAACTTGGGGTGGCCTCCTCCCTCTCTCAGACGCTGTCACACTGAAAAATAGGTCCGGGCCGGTCTGCGGTTCTCTCTCTCCCCCAGGGAGTGGGTGGGTTTTCAGAGTCTGGGGGCTCCCTTCTCCCGCCCTGGGATTCCGAGGGGCGAGAGCGGCGGGGTCGGGGTCGCGGGCAGCGCGCAGGGGCACTGGTCCGGGTCCGGCTCACTGTGGCTGAGGCGACAGGAACCCCTTCCCCTGCGCGCCCTGGCGAAGTGGAGTGGGGAGGGGAGCCGCGGCCCCCAACCCCCAGGCCTCTCCCCTCCGGCCGGAAAAGAGAGAGCTTTTGCCACTGAGGGTTGCGCAAGTATGGGTCCCACCTGCGCTCACGAGGTGCCCCGCAGGGCGGGGGCGTGGGGTTGCGGGACCCTGTCTGCGAAGAGGGCCGGGGACCCCCGCCCGGGTCCACACCGAGAAGGTCGCATGGTGGTGGTGGGGTGGGGGCAGTATCTGAGATTCTAAGCTGCTGGGCGGGCGAGGGTCGCAGGCGCCGGCTCCCGGATCCCACCGAATCGGGCGAGGGGGCAGGGTTTGGGAGTAGAGAGGGGGGCGCGGCTCCGTCGCCCCCGCCCCCCGCCCCCTGCGGGCGCCCGCCTCGCCGCTGCGGCCCCGCCCTCGTCGTCACGCTCGGACGCGGGCGGGGGGCGGGGTGCGCCTCCATGTGACGCGCCCTCCTCGCCGTGCCCTTCAGCCGCCGCCGCAGTTCCCGGGGCGCCACATGGACCGGGCCAGCCCGAGCGCGCTCCGCCACTGACTGCCCAGGCGCCTGCCCGCCCGCACCCCGGCCCCGGGAAGGTAACCCACGCTCCCGCGCGCGCCCCACTCCAGGCCGCCCCCTGCCCAGCCTGCCCCTTCCCGGCCCCGGCTGGGCGCGCGCTCGGCCGGGGCGGGCGCTGTCCGCCCGCACGGTGCTGAAGCGGGCCCCGCGGTCCCGGCCCGCGCCCTCCCTCCTTCTTGCTCCCGCTTTGCGCGTCTCCCCTTCCCCTCCATGTCCTGTGTCTCTTTCTCTCTCCTGGCGCGCTCCCGCCTGAGGGCCGCTCAGCAGAGCCGGGCAACTCGCCCGCCCGCAAAGCCAAGGGGTGCGGCGGCAGCGGGAGCCCCGGCCCGCGCGGGGAGGCAGTGGGAAGCCTGGGGGAGCTCCAGCAGCACCCCGAGCCTCTCTGTGGCTGGGCCCTGAGTTCCCCACCCCCTCAGGAGCCAGGGGAGAAGTTTGGAAGAGAATCTGCTTTGCGGCAAGGGCGCCCCTGCGCGCCAACGCTTTGCGGGGAGGCGGGGGCACTCCCACCCAGCCAGCCCTCCCCAGGCCGCACAAACGCGGGTCTCCTTCGTCTGCAGAGGAAAACGCCGTAAAACACTGGATCTCCAGAGCCCTGGGCTTCCCTGCCAGGAGAGACCCCACAAGTGGGGAGGGAGGGGACTTGCAGCTGCTTATCCTACAGGCAGCCCCTCCCCACCAGAGTTCAGCTGACCTGGACCCTGGAGCGCCCCACCGGTGCAGACGCAGGTGGGGGGGTGGGGTCTGACCTCCCATTTCCATTGCCCTGAAGGCTGGGTTCCCTGCAGTCTCTCCCGGATCTCTGCTGCGGGTGGGTGGAAGTGGGCCCTCGAATTTCCCCTGGGTGGAGCCTGGTCCACCTGTCCCTGAGCCTCCTCTGTCAGAAGCCAAAGAGACCTCTCTGAAGGGGTATCCACTCTGGCCCCACCCACCATAGCCCTTCCTGTCTCTTAAATGGATTCCCCCACCCCCTTGTGGCCCAGGGTCCACCAGGGAGGCAGAAGGGCCAGTCACCTCACACACCCCTTGGGTCTGCCCCAGCTTCACACAGCCCGGCTCCTTCTGAGCTGTGCTCTCCCGCCTCTGTCGCTGCAGTAGCCACCGTAAGATGGACTCAGAAAACCAGGGGCCACGTGAGGCCACTTTGCAGGCCCAGCTGGGGTCTTGGAATCTACCTGCCCTGGTCAGGGTGTGGGGTGGAAACCCTCCTCCACTAAGACCCTCCCAGACCCTCTCCGGCGTCCCTGTCAGTGTCGGGGTCCAGCCATAGGGGTGGGGGAATCGACAAAGGATGCTCTCTCCAGACCACGGACCCATGCTCAGGGGTCGTCACGCAGGGATGAGCAAAAAGCCCTCCCCCAGGCCGAGCCAGGGTGACCTGTGACCACTTCCTCTCCCCCAGGCAGAGAATTCCCCACCACACTTGGATGTGTGTTCGGACCCTTGGAGGAGCCGCTGAGGAATCAAAGCCATCGTCATGGAGTTCGTGATGAAACAGGCCCTGGGAGGTAGGAAGTTGGGGGCGTGGGGGCACAAGGCTGGCCTCATCCCCACAGTGGCATGCAGACACATGGGGGCACGTTCAGCACGTGGTCACCCTCAGACTTCACAGATGCCTTCACTGCATGTCCCCGGAAACACACCTGCCCGCTCCCTCCCTCAGGACAGAGCCAGGGAGAAGGGGGGTAGGAACCAAAGCCAGCGCCTCCCAAATGGCCTTGGCCAGCACGGGGAGTGGGGGAGGGTGTACACGGTGTGCGTGGTCAGGACAGAGCCCACCAGACAGTGCTGAGGCTGGGGTCCAGGGTGAAGCAGCAGCACCCTCGCTTTTGGGGGGCTAGTGGGGGGTGGGTTTCAGGGGCACCAAGGGCCAATCCTAACTGGCAGCATCTGGTGGGCCCCATGGGGGTTCTGCTGTTGGTGAGCAGAGCCATGGGAAGCTGCAGCAGGCAGAGTAGGGGTGGGGGCCAGGGCTGGGTCTGTGGTGTCCAGCAAGGACCCCATGGGTTTCACCCAGGGTGGGGGCAGCAACGTGCACAGGGAGCTAGGGCTGGCTGAGCACAGGGACAAGGGAAGACGCCAAGACAGGCAGGGCAGCTGTGTGTGGGTCCCTGGGAGAGGGCCGCCCTTCTAACCCTGCTGACTTATCTGAAGGGAATCTTGTGCCTATTTCATCCAGAGGGGGTCATCACTGAGGCCAGAGACGCTGGCCTAGGAGGTGGGCAGGGCAATGGGCTGACGTCCACACTGGGATAGGTGCGTCCTGGTAGAGCGGTCTGGTCAGCCAAGGCCCAAGGGGCCCATCCCAGCTCCCCTGGTTGCAAGACCAGCTCCCCGGAGCTCCCTGGGATGGGAGCCTGTGGCCAGCTCCTGACTCTGCCATTCGGGACGTTTCCCTCTGGTGGCCTCCGTGGGCCACACCCTGACCTGGTACCGTGCACAGCCTGGCATGAGTCAGGTGATGCGTGACAAGGCCATCCTCATGGTGCTGCTGCAGGAGCAGGAGGAATCGGGACCTTGTTGCTAGAGCTGGGGATGCTAGAGTGGATGGGGGCTGTTGTGCTGGTAATGGAGGGCAGGATGGTGGGGCCAGTGCCACCAAACACAGGACAGGGGCCCTGTGGGTGGGCTTGTCTTTTGCAGAATGGCTTCATTTCTGCCACCACGAATGAAAAGACATTTGGGCCTGGCCTGGGGCCACTGTTCCTGGGATTCTGTGGTCAAGGATAGGCTGCAGGTTGGGTCTAATTATAATGATTACGTCACCAGGACATGATTCAGGGACAAGCATCCTGGCACCGGGAGCAATCCATGTTCCCACCCAGCCGGTCCCAGGCTGGTACAGATAATTAATTAGGTGGCTAATTCAGGCCCTGAGGTGGGTTTGTAAGAAACCTGAAATATCTGATTTGGCTGTCTACATGGCTGAAATTAGCTGGGTAATTGCCAGCCTGGATCCCCTTTGTTCCATGTCAGCCCAAAGTTTCTCCTGCGGCAGCAATGGGGTGGGCTGCATGGGGCGGGGGGGGCCTTGGAGTATCCTCTCAGCAGCCACCCACGGGGTGCGCCCACCAGGTGCTGCCCCCCACTACTTGTCATGCCCCCACTGCTGAGGTTGGCGGCTGCATCTGACCTCCAGGGCGAGACCTTGTGTTTTTTTCCTGTGCTTTCTCTCCCCCTGGATGGGCATCATTTTGGCCTCTTAGGATGAGTACGTACAGACAGAGGGACAGAGACAGACCCAAACCCAGACCCAGACCCAGAGGGATGGACCCGAGAAACAGGGAGCAGGTGTGGGTTGGAGAGAGGGTGCCCTGGACACACAAGACAGATGTGGGGAGGGGCAGGCCAGAGGGAGAGGGGCACTGGGGCACTGGCTGTCTGGGAATCTGTAGGGGATGGAGGATCGGAACAGAACAGCCAGGGAAAAAAGACAGGGGGCCCTGAGACCAAGATTGAGGAACCCAAGGAGGGCGCCTGGGTGGCTCAGATGGTTAAGCGTCTGCCTTCAGCTCAGGTCATGATCCCAGGGTCCTGGGATCGAGTCCCGCATTGGGCTCTCTGCTCAGCGGGGAGCCTGCTTCTCCCTCTGCCTCTCTCTCTATCTGTCTCTCATGAATAAATAAATAAAATCTTAAAAAAAAAAAAAAAGATTGAGGAACCCAAGGAAATGGGACAAGAGACAGAAGTGCAGGGTGCATGGTGGAGAGAGACACTGAGACAGACACAGAGACAGAGAGACAGATGTATCAGACACAAACTGAGAAATAGAGTCAGGGCTAAAAACACAGAGACCATGTACCTGTCTGTGCAGCAGGAGGGAGGAAAGACACAGGGCCTGGAGGGAGCCCCATGGGGGCAGGCCTCGCTCGGCCCTGCTGGGGACAGGACTGGATGTAGCCTAGTTAAGTTGTGGCCAGCTCACTGGGCTGCTGTGTTGTCCTGACCATGTGTCTCATGGAAGGCCTTTGCTGGGGACAGAAGCTTCAAGGTGACAGCCTGGAGAGTCCCATGTCAGGTAGACCAACAGGGCGTCCACAGTCCCCCACTCCGCCACCCCGAAGCGCATGTCTGGTCCACTCTGGGGCTCAGGGTATGATGAACTGAGTGGCAGCCCGAAATTCAGGGGCTGCCAGTCCAGAAGGAGCTCAGATGCAGTTCGGCGGCCCCAGGCCTTTCCTATAAGCCTCTGTCGATGGCTGATGCTGCCCAGTCCCTGCGGCCCAACCCCCGTGGAACCCAAGCCTGGCCAGCGGGCTTCTGGCTCTGCCCCTACAGCGCAGTGTGACCCTTGCTGAAGGCGGTCTCCTCCACGGGCTCTGGGGACCACGAGGCCGCCCGGGAGCACCTGCTACTGGAAGAAAGGGAAGGTTGAGGGGCATGGCTAGGCGTTGCTGTGGTGACAAGGGGCTGCCCTGGGCAGTGAGGGAGGACAGGGCCCAGCAGGCCAGGAGGGGGCCTGGCAGGTGGGAGTGGGACTGTCAGCGCCGCTGCGGGTGAGCAGTGGGACTCACGCCCCAGCAAGGCCACGAGCACTGACTGGTGGCCTCACAGACGCCCAGAGCCCCGGAGAGCACGTAGGCAGCCACGGACCACAAAGGAGGGGACAGATGGCTCCCGGGGCTCCTTTCCTTGTGATGGCAGCATCTGCCCACACACTCCAGTCCCTGGGCCCCTGGGCATGGGAGGGCTTTGCATGGTGGCAGTCTCTCTTGAGATGCAGCCTGGGAGGGACCGGGTGGAACCCATGGGGGCGTCTGCTCTTAGGGCCTGAATTCTTCCTGGGATGACTAGGGGGCACCTTTGGTTCCTTCAAAGTCAGACGTGATCCCCCTGGACACTGTTCTGCTGCCGAGGCCAGGGAGCTGTGGGTGCCATGGGCACACAGAGCTGGCTGGGGAGAATTCTCCTGGGGCCAAATTGTTGAGAAAAGTGTCCAGCTGTTGACAAATTTGTTCTCACTGAGAGAATATCGTGGAGGCCTTTATGTTCTTGGGCCACACCAAGATTGACCCCAGATTTAATGCTCAGTCCCTTGAAGAAGAGAACACTCGTGAAGTCTGTGGGAGCAGCTCGAGTGGTGGCCTGGAGACTGCGACAAGGTGGCCTTGAATGGGGGCCATGTGCTTGGGCCACTGGACACAGATCTGGGGCTCAGAGTCTTCAAGGGTGCAGTTTGAAGAAAAAACAGTTTTCTCCCAAGGCCAGGAAGTGGCAAGCGGCCCTGGGGCTGTATTCACACCGCGGACAAGAGCAAAGGCAATTGTCAGGTTACTGTGGTTGGGTGGTTGGTGTAGACTCTCATCAGGCTAAATCAGCTGCAGCGTGGCTATTCTGGCCCTAAGAACTGGTCCATGGCTGGCTGTCCTGTTGATCTGCCTGGTGTGACATATTCCATGTCCAAAGCATGCTCAGGTCCTCGGGGATGGTGTGGGGGCAGGGGAGGGCTTCACGGAGGAGGGGGCATCTGAGGTGGGATTCAAGGATGGGCAGATGACCCTGGGACACAGCACGTGCAAAGGCCCAAGGGCTGCAGGGCGGGGGCAGCAGGAGATGGGAAGGAGGACGTTGCAGGACAACCGTGACCACGCCCACGGGGGGTCTTCTCACCGAGCACACTCCAGTGCCTCACTGACACGTGGTCCCTGTGTCCTGTGTCCTGTGGTGAGTTGGCCTGGGGCCATCCTGGGGGGAGGCTGTCCTCTCTTGGGGAGTCAGGCGTCAGGGCTTGTGCCTGGTGCACGGGGAGGATGCAGGAATGAACAGCCACCCTCCTGAGGCGAGCATGTCTGAGTGGGGACAGAAGCCCCGCCGAGCCAGACTGCACGTGTATGGGAGGAAGATGGATCCCTGTCACCCAGACCTCCGCGGACAGAAGAAAAGCATTTCACAGATGTGTACCCCAGGGAGAGCCTCTGGGGGCTGCTGTGGTCGGGGGGCCTCTGCACCCTGTGGGGGTGGGTTGTGTGCTCTCTGCTGGGGCTCTTGGGGGTCAGTCCCCAGATGTGTCGAGACTGCCAGGTCAGACCCTGGAGAAGGGAGGGCAGTGCCCCCCGCGTCGCTCACACAAGTGGGGGTGGGGCTGGGGTTGGAGCTGAGTCTCCCGCTGGGAGCCGGGAGCCCTGGGCAGAGAAGTGCCTCCCTCAGTGCTGGTGCCTTCCTCCACCTCCACGGGCGTGTTGAAGGGGGCCTCCTTCCCTGTCTGGCACCTGCTTCTGTAAAGCATCCTGAGCCCCCTCTCCCACTGCTGGGTCTCTGACTCCCAGCTGAGTCCTGCATGTACCTGTAGCTGCTTTGGGGACGTAGCGTCAGGGATCCTGAGGTCTTTGCAGATCAGAGGTGGCTCTTTCCCAGACTCTCCTTGCCTTGGCCTCTAGGACCTCAGGTCAGAGCTGTAGAGAGAGCCTGAGATACCAGGTGGTCCTGTCTGGACCCCCAGTGTCCACTCACGGGACCGTACACTGAGGGTGAGGCCAGGCCTCCCCATCCTGTCCCTAACCCGGGTCCC